TTGTAAATTGTGACAAGAAATTTTGCCTACTTGGAGAAGAGCTACAAAGAAATAATTTTGTATATATAATAATCTGCGAATGGAACATATATATATACACATAGATACACATTTATCATAGAACCCCCAAGAATTTAAAACTACTTTCACCCCTGATCGTTACCCAATGTTGGACCCAGCCAGTAGATAAAGCAGTACTCCAGGTATGTGTGGCCACTGCAGGGGAACTGAACAGAGAAAGCCAGGGCGGGATTAAAAACGGCTCCGGAAATACTCCCACCTGCAAAAAAATAAATAAATAAATAAATAAATAAATAAATAAGGACAAAACATAAACAAAAGCACATAAATATGCTCTTTAAACCCAAACTTGCTGAAACCATATATAATACAGTTATCCACATTTGGTAAAAAAAAAAAAAAAAAATAAGGAAATTCCATGAAGAATTATTACTCATTAAAGACAATGTTTGAGTGAACAAAGATCACATGTGAAGTTCCTCAAAACTTCATTCTAAGGTCAGGTAGTAACTACAGTTGATGCCTGAGCTAAAGCTAGCGTCCTAGCTCAGATTATAGAGTATACTCATGCTGATGATAATCATTTTACCTGAACATTAATCTATTGCCAAATCAGCCAATTGCCAGAATGGTAGTTTTACTGTCAAATCAAGACAGATAAACTGTTTTCTGATTTTATTTTCTGTAAGCCATTTCATTATAATAGTGTCTTTAAAGGTCTTTGTGAGAATATGAATAAATAAAAGACCTGCTAAGTCACAGATCCCAGGAGAGAACAAAACAAGACAAAGTTTCTCTGATACTCAGTGGAACAAACTCCATGTCTCGGGGTTTTATGGAGTTTGTTCCACTGAGAAACGTTGTCCATAAAAACCCTGAGACATGGAGAAACTATTCAAAAGGAATGAAAATAATTCTGGTCTCTGGAGTTTTCCTTTAAAGATGCTTTGTCATTTAATTCATAATACATACTGCTTATCAGTTTTAAATGTGAGATTATTTTCAGTTTCCTCTGTTGTCCTTCTAGCTGAAACAATTAATCAGAGTAAATGATTATTGAAATAATCGTCTATTTTAGTAATGATCAAAGTTAAGACCCGCCTCCTGGCTCTGATTGGTCGTTTCTAGTTAGCATTGGGAGAAGGTAGAGGAGCTCGATTTTTTTTTCTCACAATTACAGTGAAGCTTGAACATGTGTAAATATATGTTACATTCTGCAGCTTTAAATACAAACTGTACGGATTAAAGTTGAGTAGAAGTTTGACTTAATTATTGCTCTGAATGTTTTTGTAGTTTTTTATTTTATTTTAGTCAGTATACTCCAGTTAACATTAATAGATTTCAAAATTAGTTGATGATCATTTCAATAATCGATTAATCGTATCAACTGTAAAACAATAAATAAAACCAGGGATCTTTACATATTTGCATTACTTTTTTTTTTGGTCCAACACACCTGCGTAAACCAAAGCGGTGATGACCGCAGCAAAGAAGTGAACTCGGAGTTTCTCCTCCAGCTTGTGGATGTGCATGGCGGTGGCCTGCACCGCGAAAGCGCACGCCAGCTCCACGGCAGCAGCCTCCAGCACAGTCCCACCGAGCGGGTCGAAGCACCGGAACCCGAACTTTTGGTGCCGGCGGTGCATATCCGACAGCCCCAGCGACCAAACGGAGGCTGCAAAGGACCGTGCGGCGACCGCGGCTCCGAGCTGGACAGCGATGAGGAGAGCCGCGGCTCTGCCACTCGCCGTGCCGCGGCAGACTCTCTCCAGAGCCGCAGCGGGATTACACGTCGCTTCTCTGAAAGTTGATAAATGAACAACGGTGACGACATAAGTGAGAGTCAAACTGATCGTTTGGTCCAAGCGGACGGATTCCGCGAGCAACTTGAGTTCCTGGGTGCAGCAGCAGAGTTGGAAGGTGGACGCCGCTTCCAGCAGGTAAATCCAACAAATACCGGGGAGAAAACGCGCCGCAGCTCGGCGGGTCGCCTCGCAGAGTAGCACCGCGACGGCCAGGACACCCAGCGAGACCCACAGGTCAGCCATGTCCGCGGTCCGGAGCCTTACAGGCGGGTTTATCCCGAGGTTTGAGCCGCTGGTTGGACAGAGCGCAACTTATTAGACTAGTTACCCGTGGCGGAATGTCAAAGTCCGGGAGACCCACGTTGTCTCCGCTGCGTCAGTTTTTATTGTGAAACAGGAAACAGGATGACTCAACCTTCAAATTAAAGGCATGACCAACAATTTGATTCGGCAATGTTTTAAACAATTATCCAAACCAAAATGTACACTCTGTGATAGAAAAATAAATTTGTTAGAAACATAATTTACAGACTTAGTTAGGCTAAAAATAAATCTGTAAGTTACTTTTATTATTTTTAAGCAGTTTTATGTATCATCTTTTATTTTTCTCTATATCCATACATTTCGTGTGACTCCAGAAATGGGGGGTGTGAATTAAAAAAAAAACAAACAAACAATACATACATTATATTTGTAATGTTATTGGCCTGTTCTTGTTTTTGGACTGTTCTTCTCGTTTGGTCACATTTTTAAACACTATTTGATCAAATTCTAGTTAATTTAATCTGAACAAGGGAACTTCAGGTCTCCTAGGTTTATTTTGCTGTTGGATCAATTTTCTTATAAAAGAAAGAAAAGACAACAACATCAACAACAAAAAAACAAAAACAGGAATGTCCCAATTAAATTTTTAAGAAAGATTTTTGACTTTTATTTATGTTTACTCTTTCCAACTGAAGGACATAAGTTCAGCTCTTTCTGTGAATAATCCAGTTTTCCTTTTTTTTTGGTATTCTTTTCCAAATTTTCTTCATGGAGAAAATATTATTACAATAAGTAGACAACAAATTTGACTTTCAGTTTACTGAATTTAGCCTATTTGTGTGTTGTTTCAAGTCTTCATCTAAATAAACTCTATAGTTTTTCATTTTATTTGACCAATATTTTGAGGGGTAAAATACACTGAAAGTCCAACAAAAAGATTAATATAAAATAATTTACTCCATTTTTTTTTTTTTTTTTTTTTTTCTTTTTAAAGTTTACTTTTTGTATATGCAGCCTTATATGAGCGAAATCTAGACTTTGCTTTAGAGGTAAAATCAGAGCTATAACCGTTAAGCCGGTTTTATTTTGACGGTTTTATCGGAAGTGCGGGTGAATGCGTTTGAAACGCGGTTAACTTGATCTGTTTGGGTGCAGCACTGGCTATCATACAGAGAGGATCAACGCTGGGCGAGAACATTCCTGTTCCAGCAGTTTGACAACTTTACTGAGAAAGAAACCAGCGGGAGGGAGAACTGAACTGTTTTCACTGCGCTCAGTGGGAAGTCTGTGGGTTAATAAACGGAATAAACTTAAAAAAAATAATAAATAAAAAATAAACTGTCTTGGTTAATAATGGAAGCTGCTAAATACCCAGAGGTGGGCAGAATAGCTAAAAAAAGAAAAACTAAAAAAAAAAAGAACTTTATTTTTTGAGCACTTTTTAAAACAATGAAGTCTGAAGCCAATACTTGCTGTATGTACATGCTAGAACAGTGAAAGAAATGCTCCCAGTGGCAATATTCACCATTTATTGTTAACTTGAGCCCCAAATGTTACAGCAGCGAGAAAATAACTTTGGAGCAGAGGTAAGTAGCAACTTGGCAGTAGTTTTACTGCATCTTAGTTTTTACTTTTACAGACATCAGTCAGTTTTTATCTGAAGTGTTGATATGGAGGATAGCTGTATATGAACCTTTAAAACAGGTGAACTTTCTGCTGGTTTGTGTAACAGTAATCTTGTTTTAAAGGGTCCAACTGATGTGAACTTTGCACACCACACTCTGCTTTTTAATGTTGTCATGTTCCTTTGATCTCTTATACTTTGACTCTGGGATTTTACTGCAGGTCTCATTCTTACTCAGCATTTTCTCCACGTTAATTTTTACACTGAGCAACTTCATACCTTTAGGTGTTGTACTGAAATATCAAAAAGTTGACTTAATTTTCTGTTTCTGTTCAGCTTTATGCTTTTAAATCCAGTTAAACTACTTTTGCATTTTGAATATTATTTCAATAATTCAATTTAAAATCTAATTTCATGACATATTTTGTGTGTTTCTTTTTATTTATTTAATTGCATTTATTCTGCCTTCCCGCTAGTTAAAACCAAAAATCTGTTATTTAGGATCACATTTCAATATCTTTAACAGCAAAATGTGCTCCCACTGAAGCCATATATGCACCAAATACTTGGTCTGGGCTCCTTTTGCATATATGTTATATATGCAAAATACAGATAATGTTTCATTATCTGTATTTTAAAAATGAATTTGAGCATTTCAGATATTTAATCCAGGACTATATTTAACTGTGAGAGTAAAGTTTTTGGACATATTTTTAATAAATTTATTGAATGAGTCACTGTTGGCATAAAACATATACATAATATTTCACCAAAATGTCGTATCTCTTTAAAGAGGCTGACATCCAGCTGGACTCAACTGATGGTGTGTTTTCATCACCTTGGCAACAGGTGGCGATGGATGACACCAGGGTCACCAGTACGACTTATGTAAATTTGCTAGAAAGTCTTTAGTGCTTCCGCTTTATTTTCAAAATAAATCTAACAAAACTCTGCTTTGCTCTTTATATTTTCTATCTCGGCTACAGAGTTTCTCCAGATATGGCGGGAAAAAATAGACGAGAAACTTAAATTCTACTATTAATAAACGAGTGGCGCCCACAGTACCAGACTGGCTCTGTTAGTGAACGCTTAAAACGGAGATAGACATACATAATTAGCTTATATTACTATAAGCTAATTACATGGAAAGATATTAACATGGCTTCCCAGATCCATGTTTATACCATTGAAAGAAATTTAAAGATCTTACTATATTTGTTGTTCCGGGTCTGTGTCTGCTTTAGAAACAGAGTTTTCTCACCACAAACCACCTAAAAAAAGTTATTAACTTTAGTTTGAAACAAAAATAATAATACGAGTCATTTTAGATTCTTCTCACAGTAAAAATGTGAAGGACAAGAATGTTCCGACACAAATGATCAGGAACATAGTTGGTATTGTGACTCTAGGGGGCGCAGTTTCTTCTTTATTGCCTTCGTATGTTTCCCTGGCTAGAGTAAACGCAAATTATATCTGTGTGAAGAAAACAACTTGATGCACACGTTAATTTCGTAAAGTACCTTTTATAACCAAACATCGCGGATGAAACGGAGTGTTATTGCAGATTTTCGTGCATATCTGACTCGGTTCTGTTACTAGGCAACATTTGCTGTGAGGTTGATAAACATGGATAAACATCCATCCGTCGTTTATACCTACTTGTAGAACAAGTCTTTGAAGCAATCGCTGTGTGGAGAGTTTCTTACAGTTTCTTATCATGATATGCACTGACACAGAAACCGTAACTAAATGACCAATATAATGTTTTACTTTTGCAATTTTACTTTAACAGTGCATTTGAATTGAGGCGTTAAGACACAACAGACTTTTAGGGAGTTGTTACAACTGATTGGGGACCAAAATTGCTAAATGTGTTACTTTTTCAGCTACACTGGCTCGCTTTTCTAATTGTTCAAACCATTTCCCCCTCCTTGCCTGTGGGGGCGCTGCACCAAGAACCACTGAAGGAAACACAAAAAGACACTAGAGGCAACTTTCTTCTTAATGAAATGTGAACATAAATGAAGCGGTGGTAGGACTTCTCTTTTGTCTTTGATAAAAGACGAGTCATTTATATTCGCTTGCACTACATTTACGTGTTTGGTTGTGTTTACCCAGAATGCCCTGCGCTGTAGTCAACTTCCTGCTTTTGGAGCCAGTCCGCTTGGCATTCGCATATGAAATTTATTCATCCGAACCCAGAACCTGGTTTGTAGGTAGACCAGAGTTCGATTGTACATTCACAGCTCCCCAAACAAACTGGACTTACACAAGCTGGAGTTGGATTAAATTGGCCTAAACTGGGCTGGTGTTCAGGAGTTTACAACTTGCACTTAGACAATGAAATATTGCTCTGTTTTGGGGCACTGGATGGCATGTAATGTAAACGTACCAGTCTGAGGCCTTATGCTGCATGTTTTCCTCTTTTCTCTCCTAATTCCCAATAATTTACTATTCAATAAAGGCCACCTGTGCTGTGTGTGGTAATTCGGGTCTAGAACCACCACGAAATTAGACCTTCTGCAGCTTGAATCCAAGAAGACAGTGGAAGTGAAGAGGAAAAGGAAATCCATATAAAGCTTGTAACATGTCTGAGTACCACCACATCTTTTCTTCCCTCCCTGAATGTGAACCAAGTCTGCCTGAGGACTTGGTTCAGAGTTCTGTTGTTGAATTAGATTGTTGGAGGCTTTGTTTTTCTATAGAACTTTTCTCCTTCCATTAGATTCTTTCTTCACTTTTCACTCACAAAACTTCACCTCTGGAAGTTCCTCATTGCGGTAAGTGTTTATGTTTCTGGTTTCTGATTAGATCCAGAATGGCTCCTGACAACTTTGGCTAAACACAAGGAACAAATTAATATTTTTATTTATAGATCTGTCGAATGCAGGTTTACATTCTTCCATGGAATAATTGCATTGCATTGCCTCAACAGAATAACAACAAAAGTACCAGTAATATTACTGCTATTAGCTTTGAAACAGTTTTTTCTTTTTATTTCATTCGTTCTTTCCTTTCCTTTTTTTATGAATTACATCTCATTGAAAAAAGAAAACTAAAGGTAGAAATAAAATGGTTATTTTTTAAAAATAGCAGCAAATTTCTCAGATATTTATCAAAAATTAGAAGTTTACTTCTAATTTAAGTTTACTTCTGAAGGCACTTTACAAAAAAGTTTCAATTTCAATTCAGTCACACATACATTCAAATTGATCCAAGTAATAAAACAGTGCATCAAGTTCAGTTCATTCTTCAAATTTGCTTACATTTTTTTCTAAGGACGTCCAGCAGTCATGCAGCTTTCACTCCTCCTGGACAAGGAAATACTATCCTTTAACAGGAAGAAATATCCAGCAGAACCAGAACCTGGCTCACTCAGATGTGATGATAAACTTATAAAACTTGTATTCTGATTATATTTTTGATCATGGTGTGCCACACCAGATGATCACTGGGCCCCCTTTAGATCTGGAGACACCCCTGGTGTTCAGTTTGTACCGTCATTTATAAGCCAGCAAAAATGACGCCGGGTTTATTTTTGTACTTTTCATTTTCTGATTTTTACTTAAATTTAAAGGGAACCTGATGTTTCCTCCCCTTTTAAAGTCTTAAGTCTTTCACTTCCGGTTGTTGCATCGGTAACTCTCGCTCGCTTGACTCCTCCTGATCAGCCGA